ATTTTGAACAACTGGACAGAAACATTTTGCATTGCTCAAAACCCCTCGCCATAGGGCCAGTGCAGGCAAATGAAGTCTGGTAATTCATCTCTACCAATTCTGCCAATAAAAGTGGTCAAATATCCAGCCAGAATGAATTCAGAAGCTTGTTGATGGCTACAAAAGGAGCATTAAACCAAATATTAATAGTAGTGTATGTATATATATTCGAGCCTGACTTTAGGCCCTGTTTGGATTAGAGAAAAACCAAAATAAATCCAAACATGTGCAGCCAATTCTTCTTGTTTTTGCTTAAAAGTCATTAAAGATGTATTCGCACAAACAATACACCTCATTAAAAAAACAGTTTAAAGAAATCATTAAAAGCCTGAATTTATCATGATATTCACGCCCATGATGAGTGTGTGTGAACTTCTGACTGCAACATATGCAAACAGACACATTTGTGGAACCATAAATTCAACATAAGACAGATCAACCTGGTCACTGAGGAGCTTTGTGCAGAAAAAATAAGCTAAGCAAATATCCATCAGATTTTTATGGACCTTTAATTACAATTACGTTCCCGTGCTTATAGCTAGACAAGGTTATTTGGTAGGTTCTTGAAAAAGTGAAAGGGCGTTCAGCAACCACTCTTCTCTGTTCTCCCTCTAGACTCTCATGTTTTCTCTCTCCTCCTCTGAACTTCCCAAGACTTGAGAGGCTTTCCCCACAACCTTGTCTAATCTTTAAAGGATTGTTCTTTCTTTTTTTCTTCAAGACTCCTAATGTGCCTTTTATCTGGTCCTTATTGTCATGCTCTAAATCTCTCTCCTGCTCGGCTCGTCTGACATTCTCTCACTCCTTGAAAGGCCAGATTGTGACCCTTGCTGTTTTTTTCTTTCTTCCCATCTAATGGTTTAGTTTTTAGGGGGACAGATATAATATTAATACAGATAGTGCATTCACTAAGGCACTGTATGGATGTGTATATGAAATGGTGAGTGCTAAATAACTACCAGTCCAACTAACCATGAAGACTCTACTGCTTTGTGTTTCTACTCTGTGTTGCAGACAATCCTGGAAGTACTGTGAACAGTAGCGCTCGATCTGCTTTGATCAGCATTATTTCACAACAGCTCCTTTGCATTTTCTTCTGCATAATATTAAACAAATAAAAGGTTTTTATACTGACCAACATATACCAATACTGAAATACCTGGAAAGGTCCAATATCAGCCAAATGATATATCATAGGGTTCTGTTTCTTTGCTCCTCCCTCCTCATTTGGCCCCTTCGATTGGTCCATCTTGGCTCCCTGCCCCTCGATGCGGATGATTAGGCGAGGAACTGCCTGGTGACTTTGCCTCTATTAACATTCTTCCAGGGGATATCTTTCACTTCCAGTGAGCGTGCAGAACCTGATTTTAATCTGTGTTGTATAATGAACTGACCCCTGTACTCTCCCTCTTGTAATAGTAGGTGACCAGTTAGCTCTGGTACGACTGGGTGAAAAAATACTGCGACAGAAATAAGAGATAACTGCTAACAAGTGATGGGTGGAGGTTCCTCTGTGTTGTCATCGCCTTTTTGTTAATTTTCTGTAGTGTGATTTTGCAGGAGGGTACTTGTTACCTAGGGAGCGGCTTAAGACCAAGATGTACCTGCGATGTGTGTGTTAGGGGAGTATATAAAAGAAGATTACTTTCTTGATTTGAGAGGTCTTCCAGATCATTTCTCATAATAAATAAGCAGACATAACTTGCAACTTTTATTAGACTATTGAAAGCCTTGACTGCTTGAGGTGAGAAAAATAAAGGGAACGTGAAAAAGGCTGAATGCAGTGATCATGCAGCTCTCAGTTATATGGAATAACAGCATTTCAAAGCAGGTTTTTCTTCTTTGTGCTGGCTTGCATTTTGTAACGGTCCATTTCACAATGGCTCTTAAGGGCAGCGTGAATGTGTTTAACTCTGCCAGACTTTGCAGTTTTATTAGACACAATTAAATATCGTACAGCGGGGCAGGGCATGTTGCTGGAAGGAGCAGTGCTTTCTGCCTGCATTCACAGTTTAGACAGAAAAGAAAAAGAAGCGAGGATGTGGTGTTTGAAATGGCTTTTGTGTGGCTGATGCAAAAATCCTCTTTGTGTGTGTATAAAGCTAATTCTGACTACTTAGACCTGAAGGTTCATTCTTGACAAGGAAAACAGGATAAAACATTTTCCTTCATATATGAAAGTCATCAGCAGACTTAAAACGCCCATGTTCTGAATACCTCATGTGCTTAGAGAGTCCTTCAAAGTAGGTGGGAATGTAGGATATAAGACAAAAACAGGGTTTGTACAATTCTAACAAGTTAATATGGTATGATCAACTTCATTCTTCAACACAGCCTGAACTCTCTTATCCTTTTTTGTATTTTCTTTAAGTAGTCTTCAGGAATAGTTCTTCAAGCTTCTTGAAGGACATTCAAAACTCTTTTTTGGATGTTTGGATCTTCTCTGGCTGCTTTTTCTTTTGTTCTATAACAAGATGATCCCACACTGCTTCAATAATGCTATGGTTCACACCTTGCAGAGCTCAATCCACGACTGACAATGTACCATTGTGTGTTTTTCTATCCTTGTATGCTTTTACGGTTTAGGAACATTGTCATGCTGAAACGTAAGCTGTTGCCAATGAGACTCTTTCCAGATGGTTTGTATGGTGGATCAAAATCTGCCAGTACTTTCTGTTTCATAAGTTGATCAATTTTGGTAATATTCCCAATACTACTGGTTAAAATGCAGCCCAAAACCATGGTAGAGTCTGCACCATGCACCATGTTTTACAGATGGCTGCAGACACTCACTGTTGTGTCTTTCTCTTGACCTGCTTCGTACCGATTGATGAAGGTTTGAACCATAAATTTCCCAATTGGAGTCCCTCCACCATCAGACCTGTTCCCACTGATTTTCAGTCCAGTTCTTGTTTAATTTGGCATACCTCAGCATTTCCTCCATGTTTCCCTTCTTTAAGAATGGCTCCTTGACAGCCATGCTTCCACTGAGACTGTCTTTACTGTAGTTTCATCTGTTTCTTAAGGACATGACTTTCAGATACTGTTTATCTTCTTTAAATTGTTTTGTTAGGTCTGCCCCCTTTTCCCCATAGATTCGATTAAAGAAATGTGAGCAAATTGTGTGTTTTTGCGACAGGCTACTAGTAACAAAGTCCTCAAAGATACAATTTAAAACTGAGAAATGCACAGCTTTAGTAACACTCCATCTTTTCTGTACAGTTTCTTTCTTAAATATCAACTGTGCTGGATAAACAGTGAAAGAATGACTGTATCTGCATTACAGTGTTCAACAGCACGCTGAGACAGAAAAATCTGTAATACGACACCTCAGATGCTGGCAAACCTCTGCATGAGACTCAGACAGGTTTGCAAGTCAAAATGAGAAGAGAGGTTTACTGGGTGTGAATGCATACCGCTTCGTCATTACTTTCAGAGAATAGTGGCCATTTCCCACACAATGCCAGCTGATGATGCGGGCATCGCTGAATGGCTAAAGACATTAAATTGTCAGGGATTTCTGTCTAAAGGCATCCCACGAGAGGAAGGGATGACATAGACAGATACAAGTAATAATTCGCAGGGAGACCAGAGTTATTGGGTTGGACTGGTAAGCACGACTGTGTATCTGAATCCTCAAGTGAGTTTATGTGAGGAATGATGAAAACTGGCGAGCAGCAAAGCAAACAGGACTGAATATTCATGGCTCATATGGATGATCCTCACAAACTTTCACACATCTCCCACCCATTCCCTGTCTTTTCAGGTCTTCACAGTTGACTGATGAGCAGCCAGTAGGACTGGGCTTGGGCTACACCGACTGGCATAGGTAAACACTACTTTCTCAACCCACCGGAGATGTTGAAATGTGTTTTTTTTTCTTGCATGCTGACATGATTTTGTTGGTTCGCTGGGAGACCTGCCAGCCAGAACTGTGTTGGTCTGGAAATCTTTACTTTTAAAGATTTACTTTTGAATAAGTAAGGAAGCAGCTGGTTTTCTTTTAAGTGTGTGTGTTTGTGCTTGTGTACCCGTGTGGATTTCACTTTTGACAGCACTTCCTCTGTACTTGAAAGGGCCATGCTGATGTTAAACTAAAAGCGTGGGATTAAAGCATCAGTTTTATATAACCAAACTCTGTATATATTTATTTAGCGTCCCCAAATCTTACCTGACTGTGACTGGCAGAAAGTACAGCTTTTGCATTACTGGCTATTATTAGATGTCATTGTATTTTCGATAGAATACGCAAAAGCTTCTCTCTCTCTCTTCGCCTTTTAAAGTACCAGCATGCATTCTTTTATATATACACAAATTTTCTCATTTCTGAATAATAGAACAATTGCTTTAATAATTTATAGCACAGTCTTGCTTTGCTCATTACAGATCTGGCGCTTGTGGATCAGTTGTTTGTTTGTTTTTTAAGTCTGTGCAGACTTCCCAGGGTGCTTTCTTATGGCACGGTGCTTTAGTTCTTCTCATGCATCTGCTCTGCCTAAGTTAAATTCTGTGTGAAGTTGGCAGTCGCTGCCTTACTTTCTAAAGGCGAGCAATTAGATCGACGTTTTAGAGAAAAAACCTTGCGTGTGTGATCAGCCGTGTCTAGTGCCTGTAGTTCAGTTGGAGAAATGTGCTGTGACACTGCACTGATGGCCAAAGAGAAAATCTCTTGCTTCCCTCTGCACTCAGAGTCGTTGCCAGTGTGTTGCAGTGCGTCGCTAAAGGCCATTTCAGCCCTTGCCAAGCACAGCTATGTAGCATACTTCAGCCCTGTGGACATGTTTGAACACCAGATATGGCGAAAGAGGGAGAGAGAGATTCTGTAATCCAGTGCTTTCGTGGCAGGATTAAAATCCCGCGTCCTGAGTTGGGGGAGGGGTTGACTGGTATTGCTGAGGATGGGGTGGAGAGAGAGGCGGGGTGGATTAAAGCCTACAGATTTGATTCTTGCACAGCTGTGACACTCTGGGAGGAGCCTGATGGGGGGCAGTGGGAGGAGCTTGTTCTAGATTATTCTCATTTTTGCTTCCATGACTTTGGTCTTGATACAGAAATGGAGATTTGAATCTCAGGTTAAATCACAGCATATCCTTCACGTCTTATAGAGCGCCATGGTTGCACTAATTCAGGGGGTCTCAAGCTGACTGTTGTTTCTTGCATAGCTGTAAAAATTGAAATGTCTGTCATTAGTTAGCCAGTCCAGCACCTGCTCACTTAGTGCTCCTTTACATGGTGACCAAAGCACATCGTCACATGTGTTATACAAGCGCAATTGACCTGCTTGTAGCTGCTTTCTGCAATCCAGTTAAGTACTCTTGATGACAGCAGTGCAGAGTTGGCTAGCTGCCATACTTTACAGTAGTGTCACTGCTGACATGATATTATAAGTTGTGTGGTTCTTGTGTGGTTGATGCTAATCTTTTACGTAACATCATGCTAGAGCTAAACGCATCAGAGCATTCAGCCAATGTTTGCTCCCTGTCATCATAACATCTAAGTCACATTTGTACGCACAATGTATTTATTGTGATTATACTTTTTATGTTATTATTCATAGAGTAATGGCCCATAGGCTGGCCTCCTACAAAAATGGTCTAATTGGACTGTGCTGACATGGTCAGGCAGCTGTTTGTCTCTTTGTTTGTCTCTAAACCAAGTCGTAATCAGATGACAGACTAGGGGAGAACTTCCAAAATATGGAGTCAATAATGTGTTTGGTATCACATCTGCTAATGCTAGCACTGCTTAACCAGCAAGATTCCTTGTGATATTAAATGGAATGCTAATTTTGCCTGATAAAAAAAATAGGCTTTATCAAGTACTTACTGAAGAAAAGGAAGAGCCAATACTTTAAAGCAGGGGTAAGCAATGGATTTTTCCAAGGGGCCACATGAGGAACTGGGACTGTTGTTGGGGGCCGCACCACTAAGGTGAACTGAATTCTGGTCAGTTCCTAATTTTATCCCTATATAAGCTTATCAACTGCCCTTTAGTATTCACTTTAAAGCATGTAATTTAAACATGTGAGCTGTACTGAACTTTATGATTATGAGCTTTTATTTAGCTCTTAGCAACTTTATGCTGCATAGCCTCAAAGAGTTCTTAGTAAGTATAGCAACATAACTTGCCTTTTATTTCCAAGAGAGCCTTGCTGTGATGTGTTAAAGTATTCTTTGTGAAATGTTACTTATTATCCTCAATATAAATCAGGACAGACAGGGTCAAACGGTTATTAAGATAATATTTCTGTTAAGAAACAGTCATGCAGCCAGCAGCTTGTGCAGACGTACTTAGGCAAAAGGCAGAAACAAGAAAAACTGCAGTCCAAAAAAATGTGCATAATCCTGTCAGCACCTCGAGTCTACTCATTTAATGAGATGTAAGGTGGTGAGAGGCACATTCATTTTAGGGGGGGAAGCAAAAAATTAAAGAGAAAAAGCTCCCGTTGGGCTGAGGAAGAATCAAAGAGTTGGACGACCACTGAGGGAATTCGTGCGAGCACAGTGTGCACAAACAGAGTTTCTGGCTTTGAGCAGAATAAGTGTGAATGGGAGCAAGAAGGAGGACAAGAATGGGAATGTAGGGTCAGGCCCTCTTTAGTAGCACTTATGTAAGATTACTTACATAATGACACATTCAACTAGTGTGTGTGAGTGTGTGTGCCTTTGTCTAGACAAGAGGGTTAACTTGACTTTGGGTGGGGTCAGGGATACAAGAGGAGGGGTACTCAAGCAGGCCTGGTAAAGGAGGATCGTGGGATTATGTGTGTGTGTGTTTATGTGTGTTATCAAAAGAGGCGGGGGTGGTAGTATGAGAAGGTATTAAAGTCAGAGTACAGGGCGGGAACTAGCAGGCACTGAATGCATGTCCACATCTGTGAGTGCTATCCAGCTTTCTGCCTCTCTCCGTCTCATTTCACGCCTGTCTTTGCAAACTCGTCCAACCATCAGCCTCTTTTCCTTTCTCTTTTTAAAAAAATATCTTCCTTCAGCTTTCCTACTTCTCTTCACTCCCCTATCATTCCTCGTCTCTTAATATCCTCTGATATTAATCCCATTCTACTGTCGCTGTCTTTGTGTCTCTTCTCTCATTATTCGCCCTCAATCCCCTCTGTCTCTCTTGCTCCTATCTCCCCTTTCTGCATTTTTTTTGAAGTGTGGAGGGTCAGCAGTACCAGAAAAGACAAGACAGAAGACATATTGGCAGAGCTACTGGTGGTTTACTCGTGGTTAGCCTTAGCATACTTGTGGCAACAGGGAGGAAGAGCTTGGCGATGGTCACAGCAATGGAGGATTCCTGTCCCAATGGGGCACAGGAAGAGGAGGAGGTGACACCCCTGGGACAGCATGCCGTGGAGGGGCCCCCGGCTGTACGATCCACCCAGGGAGCAGAAACATCTGGAGGTGAGGACAGTAGGAGGAAGAAGGGAGCTTTCAAATATTAGGATGAATAGTGGGATATTGTTATCTTTCATTTAAGATGGAAGGCTTTAGATGGGTAACTCCAGTGGTTTCTTCAGCTTCATGTGGAAAGTCTTTAGAGCGACAGTTCCCAACATTTATATCCCCACAGTTGTGTCAGATTTGCTTGAGTCCCCTGTGATAGATACCAAGCAATGAATAAATAAAGCCTTGTCCACACAGGACAGCAGTTTGTTAATGTGTGTTTAATGCAGCTAATGATTGGTCGCTACCAGACAGGCTAGGTAACATTAATGTATTTACTATTCTGTCATACGTCAATCAACAGTATCCTGTGCTGTGATTGATTTATCAGTGGGCCAATATCATCATCATTTATAAATGAAGATTTTAAAAAATAACCAAGTAAAGTAACAAATACAAAAACTGTGAGCGACGAGGTTGCGCAGTTTGCCCACGAGAGAGCACTCTGCAACTTTCCTGTTGACAGCACATATTTGAAAACCACAACAACCAGTCTATCGGAGCAGATTCAGGCAGAGGGTAAAAAGTAAATAATAACTGCACACAACAAGTGTTTCATATGTCTGAAAGAAGAAAAAAATTTGCCCGATATATCCAAAAAAAGTTGAATTTCAAAATAAAAAACAGGTTCTATTTTAAACCAGTGCTAGTTTAGATGAAGAATATGTTTTTATAACTAAGGGGACTGAATTTCAGTAGATAAGACAATTTTTAGCATTAGAAATTTTTCCATTTCAAATGCTATTTGAACGTTTATCCAAATCTTTTAGCAGTTATCTGTTACAACCAATAATTTCTCACTCTTTATTAATTCATTTTAGAACTACTTTATTTGACTTTTATTCTGTTCTACTTTGATTAATACATGAATTTGAACCTAAATTAGCCAGTTTTACAGTGGGGCAAAAAAGTATTTAGTCAGCCACCGATTGTGCAAGTTCCCCCACTTAAAATGATGACAGAGGTCAGTAATTTGCACCAGAGGTACACTTCAACTGTGAGAGACAGAATGTGAAAAAAAAATCCATGAATTCACATGGTAGGATTTGTAAAGAATTTATTCGTAAATCAGGGTGGAAAATAAGTATTTGGTCACCTCAAACAAGGAAAATCTCTGGCTCTCACAGACCTGTAACGTCTTCTGTAAGAAGCTTTTCTGTCCCCCACTCGTTACCTGTATGAATGGCACCTGTTTGAACTCATCATCTGTATAAAAGACACCTGTCCACAGCCTCAAACAGTCAGACTCCAAACTCCGCCATGGCCAAGACCAAAGAGCTTTCGAAGGACACCAGGAAAAGTATTGTAGACCTGCACCAGACTGGGAAGAGTGAATCTACAATAGGCAAGCAGCTTGGTGTGAAAAAATCAACTGTGGGAGCAATCATCAGAAAATGGAAGACATACAAGACCACTGATAATCTCCCTCGATCTGGGGCTCCACGCAAGATCTCATCCCGTGGGGTCAAAATGATCATGAGAACGGTGAGCAAAGATCCCAGAACCACACGGGGGGACCTGGTGAATGACCTGCAGAGAGCTGGGACCAAAGTAACAAAGGTCACCATCAGTAACACACTACAACGGCAGGGAATCAAATCCCGCAGTGCCAGACGTGTTCCGCTGCTGAAGCCAGTGCATGTCCAGGCCCGTCTGAAGTTTGCCAGAGAGCACATGGATGATACAGCAGAGGATTGGGAGAATGTCATGTGGTCAGATGAAACCAAAGTAGAACTTTTTGGTATAAACTCAACTCGTCGTGTTTGGAGGAAGAAGAATACTGAGTTGCATCCCAAGAACACCATACCTACTGTGAAGCATGGGGGTGGAAACATCATGCTATGGGGCTGTTTTTCTGCCAAGGGGACAGGACGACTGATCCGTGTTAAGGACAGAATGAATGGGGCCATGTATCGTGAGATTTTGAGCCAAAACCTCCTTCCATCAGTGAGAACTTTGAAGATGAAACGAGGCTGGGTCTTCCAACATGACAATGATCCAAAACACACCGCCCGGGCAACAAAGGAGTGGCTCCGTAAGAAGCATTTGAAAGTCCTGGAGTGGCCTAGCCAGTCTCCAGACCTCAACCCCATAGAAAATCTGTGGCGGGAGTTGAAAGTCCGTGTTGCTCGGCGACAGCCCCAAAACATCACTGCTCTCGAGAAGATCTGCATGGAGGAATGGGCCAAAATACCAGCTACTGTGTGTGCAAACCTGGTAAAGACCTATAGTAAACGTTTGACCTCTGTTATTGCCAACAAAGGTTATGTTACAAAGTATTGAGTTGTATTTTTGTTATTGACCAAATACTTATTTTCCACCCTGATTTACGAATAAATTCTTTACAAATCCTACCATGTGGATTCATGGATTTTTTTTTCACATTCTGTCTCTCACAGTTGAAGTGTACCTCTGGTGCAAATTACTGACCTCTGTCATCATTTTAGGTGGGGGAACTTGCACAATCGGTGGCTGACTAAATACTTTTTTGCCCCACTGTACCTGTAGCTAACATTTAGCTAGCTAAAACCTGCTAATAATGTTTAACACACATCAGTTTATTCAGTTCTCTTTTCAACAGTTTATCAAGTAAAAGCCAACTGATTCAGTCATTTATATTATGTATTACTTTAAGTTAGCATTTCAGATATCCTTGATTCTTTCCTAAGCAGTTTAAACATGCTCTCAGTCCTTCCAGTTAGCGCCTTGGTGTTACAGCTGACACAGGATAAGCAAGTGTAATTATGTTTAAAGTAGTTTAGGTAAACAGGAGTGGGATCCAGTCGAGCGGTTAAGAAGTGCTGCTTTACAGCAGCTTTAGCTGTGAGAGTCCCAGGAACTGCACTGCACTTCTGAAAAAAGAAAAAAACACCCTCAGATATATTTTGTTATGGATGATGTGTCAGTGGAGTTGCTTCTCTGACAGTCATCTCAGAAGCTAAAAAAAATAAAAAAAATAATGATACCATGTTTAATACAAGTTGCGAGGTTTTTTCTTTCTCCTGGGATTTCATTCCTTTAGAAACAGAGCAGTGATCTCTGCATCAGCATTCAGTGCACATCATGCTCGTAGGTGTGCATACCGATGCAGTGGTTAGATGTTGCAGACAAAAGTGCCACAGAGGGAGAAATTACAAGGAAGTAAAAGAGAGTGATTCATTATATGTGAATAAATCATCTGGAAAAAAAACAACTGTTTGGTGCTGTAATCTCTTAGCATTAACAACTCCTTCAGGCCACAGCGTTTGGATCTCTGTGTCATATTTCAAAAGATTATGTAGACTTTAGTTTGAAGGCTTTAGTTCATTTCCCAACTTTTACCGGACAGAAATTTTAACAGGTAATATGCACAGAAGCGTGGACGAGTAAGGGTTCCTGTTGTCGGGGATGTAGTAAGTAGGTAAAGGTCAATGAAGACGACACCGGGATATACAAAAGGTTTCAGCTGTGTGTTATTCTGTGTATGCTTGAGGTTTTCACTCCGGATATGTTCATGTTTTGCAGTAAACGTAGCTTTATTTATTGTATACAAGTCAAAAGTTAGTTGTGCCATGGTAGTGTTAAGTTTCCATATTCGTCTTGTCTGTGTGTGTCTGTGTTTGTGTGTAGACGCCTTTTCCTGAAATGACCGTTGCCCTGTGGAAGATCTGTGTGTGGTTCCCCAAGAAGAAATAAATTATTGTGTCCATATGTCCGTACTGAGTCTTAGATTGTGCTGTTGTGCCTTAAATACTCAAAGCTTCATTGATATACAGGTTTGATTGTCTGCAGTGCCGTTTTTAACCTTCTTCCCCCCTATTTGTCCTTCTTAAAGAGGATCATAAATATTTAAGGTCTGTTTTGCACCGAGCCTGTTGTTTATGCAGTCTCCCTGCGCTCCTGTGGTTATCAGACGCTGTAGAGCTCGAGTTGAACCGTGACTGTTTCAGTACAGCAAACCAGAGAAGGCAGAATTTAAACAGTGATTAAACTGAGATCTAAATCACAGAGAGGCATTCATTTGGATAGAAATGAGCAACCAGAAGGAAACGTGTGTTACACAAGAGATGCTACTTTTTTCGGTAATATTTTACAACTCTCCCACATGGTGTGATGCTGCAATTTATCTTGGTTAAAATGCATTCCAAACTTTTAATGCTTGTGCCTCTTTTACATAAGGAAAAGCTGATTAAACATTTTTAAAGTGCACGTCAGCAGAGCTGTGCTCTGGTCAAGTGGTAAAGGGTCATATCGCATTTGTATAAATGTCCTGAGCGGCTCCTCAGTCCAATACGACTTCGATTCCTTTCTTTCTCTATTTTTCATCTTTTTGTTACTGTTTCTTTTAAATAAAAGCTAAATGTCCAATATTTTTAATAGGTATACATGCCAGATTGCAAAACCTACCAAAAATATAATATATAGACGTCAGCATTTCATAATCTGTATTTTCAAAGCAGCGATTTGGTATGGGGCACTTTATTCTAAAGAGGGGGCTGAAGTCATAGACTATAGCTTGACTTGATGACATGGAACATGTCTCAGGGTTTAAGAGTAATAATGGGTTAGTGAAGCAAAACGCAGAGTGAAATCATAGAGTGAATCAACTGTATACAAGTGCTGACCGGACATAGTTATTACCCACATAGGTGTAAAATGACACACACATACACATACATTTCCAGGGATTTAAATGGCTAAAATGTGCTTAGATTGGCTTTAAGACACTGGCATTAGGGCGTTCAGCTTGCTGATACCTACAGTCCACACCTCTCCCTGTCTCTGTTTATGTTAACAGCATAGAGGCTGGCTGCATCTGAATCCAGGAGCCTTTAGTTGAATGTTTAGGGCCTTGAGGGAATCTGGAAAAAAAAGCACTTTGAAGCTTTAAAGTTAAGCTTTTTTAAAGTGAATATACACAACTGTGCACACTCTGTGCAGACCAGGCTTAATATTCTGGGGTGCTTGTCTGTGTATACAAAGTATGTGTATCCAAAACTCTCCCAGAGAACAATACATGGTGTCTGTCGGCCAAATCAGCTCTTGACTGACAGCGCTGACTCAGGGTAAGACTGGCTGCCTTGACTCAAAGACCATTTGCCAGCTGTGTTGTGACATTTGGGTGAAAGCTGGCCCAGACAATACTTACTGTAACATGTTTCAAGCCCAACTCGTGACTTTTGGGCCACATCTGGCACACACTGCACTTACCATATTGGACCATCTTATGCTGTCTAGGCCACACATCATTTTCAGTGCTGTAATTAGTACCAAAAGCATCTCAGATTAGATCCAGATGTTATCCTGGCTGTGGAGTTTAAACTGAGTGAAAGCATGCCCGTTCACTGCATCTGAAACATTTGGGTCTTCTTTTGCACTGGAGTGTGAGCAGATCTCTTTTTGCTGTTGCTTTGCCTTCAACAGTGTCATGGATGTTTACACTCTGAATGACTTTCAGGCCTGGCTAACTTGGCTTTTCTCTTTTTCTCTCTGTCTCTGTTTCTCTGGATCTTTGTGTCTCGTCCCATCCGTCCAGCCATGCAGCAGGTGTTGGATAATGTGGGTGAGCTGCCCACCTCTGCCGGAGCCAAAGACATCGACCTGCTCTTCCTGCGCGGCATCATGGAAAGTCCCATTGTACGCTCCTTGGCTAAGGTAGCACACACACATAGCTCAGGGCAAGCAGCAGGGAGCAGACAAACCACTAGCCAGCTTCAAACTCCCCCACATGTTGCTCCCAGCAATGCTTTGCTTGCTCTGGCTGAGGCGTTGAAGTACAGTAAGGCTTTGATTAACACACAGTGCTATGTGCATCAGACCTAATGCATAATGACGTAAGAAAATTGTGCAGCTTTGCATTTCTGTGCCTTTTTTATTGACAGTGCATGCACCTACGAACACGCCTTCACTGCTGTTTGAAGTCTAGTGTGCAGTGAGTTCAGTTTAACCACAGCTGTAGCTCCTCCAGACAGGGTCTTGTCATGTTCTGCTTTTTCAAATGCTCCCTGTAGAGCATCATATCATATCTACAATCACGGCTACTGAGCAAGTCTCACTTTCTGTCATTCACTCTTTGCACATCCAAATAAATACCAACAAAACCAGGAAGGTTATGAAAGGCAACCGCCATCTTTCCACTTTTCCTGAGCTTCTTTGTCTCACCCAGGCTCAAGAGCAGCTGGAGGAAGTGAAGCTGGAAGCGGTGCAGGACAATAACGTCGAGCTGGTGACAGAGATCCTGGGCGACATCAACAACCTCAAGGTTAAAGACGACAGCGCGGCTGAGTTGTCTCGAATCCTCCAGGAGCCGCACTTCCAGGTGAGCCAGAGCAAGAGCGAGCACAGTTAGGTAGGCTAGAACAGACGCCGTTAACACAAGCACTGGTTATTAACTTAGCTTATGAGGTAATATGTGGCAACCCAAAACACTATGATAAACCAGATGCTGTTTTACAGCACTGTACTTATAATGTTATGTCATAATCAATACATAAATTCTGGTGTTGCTGCTCTCTGTTGGCAGCAATAAAACTTTCACTGTCTCTTAAAAGCAAAGCGAATATTGACTCTGAATCTGGGAACAGTGTCTCCCTGTGGGCCTCATGAGGAATAAGACTTGTGTTTTATCTAAAGCGCTCTTAAATAGGTCTTAAAAATTGTATCCTATCATATTGGTTTTGGCTTTGCTGACTCTTCTGCTTCATTGCTAAATGTCCTCTTATGGCCTCTCTATTCTATATTTCTTCATTTAGCTGTTATGTATTGACCCTCCATACGTTTGTTGAGTGGCACATTGTATGTTTTCATCCTCTTTTCTATTTCTACATCAACATTCATTTCTTGATGCTCCCTGAGAAAAAGTGGTTAGCTTGAAAAGAATACAGCTTTTTAAATGCAATCATTTCAAATAATTATTGAATTTATATATTTCCAAGTGATGCACACTTTTTTCCACCTTATTCTACTTTTTATTATTAGCAGTAGTTGTTGTAATGTTACTGCACGTTTGTGAAATGGGGACTGCTTTTCATCTGATCAGTATGTCGTACTCTAAATGTTACAACACTAGCTACAGTGGCACAGATCAGATGTTTTGGAGCCTGCGCTCATGCATCAGTAGAACACTAACCTCTGTGCCTGAACTTAGCAGGGGCTTTATGCAGGCAGGGCCAATAGGAGGTAGATTTCTGAGCCGAGCGAAGCCCCTGCACCAATCAGAGCTCTTTGTGTCTTTAGCTGAAAGATAAGACTCTGTTGACCTACTGAGCAATAGAGATACGGAGGGCGGAGGGGGGAAAGCAGGCTAGGTGGGAAAAGGAAAACAGATATTACATCACAAACTGAGTGTTTGATTTTACAGACTTTTTGTATTCTTCACCAGTGAGCGGTTGGTGGTGATTTGGAACCAGTAATAATATCTGGGGAAAAAGCAACTTGAATGAAAGCTGTTGGAGGGATACTCACGAATCAGACATTAAGTGATTAGATTTGGGTGGTTATCCATATTTGGGATTTTATCCATTAGATGATTGCTTTTTAAGCCGCACCTAAATTATTAATATGCTGGTTGGCTGTTTGGAGGTATAACTGTCCCGTTTCACTGTTATAACGTCTGCCAACAGAGCTTTTCTCTTCACTTGAAACATCAAGTCACAGTTTTGTTAATATTACTGTGAGGAAGACTAAATTTCCAATGTGGTCACAAGTGACATTTACAATAAAACTACTGAGGGAATGGAACTCAGTAATGTATCGACTTTACTTTTGTGAAAGTGTAATTGTGCTTCTTCCTCTACAATAAGATGTAGTTAAGCCTTAGCACTCGCCTACCCTCTCCTTTTTTTTCCTTTCTCTCAGTCTCTTTTAGAGGCTCATGACATGGTAGCCTCAAAATGCTACGAAGCCCCGCCTCCGACTGAGACAGCCAATGACGCAGCGGTGAACAGCGCTCTTATGCAGGCCGATGCCGTGCGCATGATTGGCATTCGAAAGAAGGCCGGGGAGCCACTGGTGAGAGGAGACTGCACGCTGACTGAATGTGTTTGCATGAGTGTGCCACATTATTTGTTTGATAATTCCATTTAAAATGCTCCAAAAGCTGCCAACACTACAAACATGGTCGATAGGTTACTAAAATTAACAGGGGTGAGGCTTAGCACAAACCCCAAGAATCAGACGAACCCTCCCTTGAGCCAGCACCTGGTGACCGTGGGAAGAAAAAACTCCCTTTTAAGAGGAAGAAACCTCTGGCAGAGGCTCCAGGCGCAGGGAGGGGGTGAGTGTGAGTGCGCAGGAATCAGAGGTAATAAAACATCTCTCTCCCTCTTCTTCCTCTCAGGGTGTGACATTTCGTGTGGAGAAAGACGACTTAGTGATCGCGAGAATCCTTCACGGAGGCATGATTGACAGACAGGGTCTGCTCCACGTGGGCGACATCATTAAGGAAGTAAACGGGAAAGACGTTGGCAATAATCCCACTGAGCTCCAGGAGATGCTCAAAGACTGCAGCGGAGGGATCACCTTGAAAATACTCCCGAGCTACAGAGACGCTCCTGCTCCTCCACAGGTGAGCACGTACAAACACAGGCACGCACTCTCCTGCTTATGTAACCGGTGGCAGATGTTGGGTGGTGGCACCATCCTGACGATATGTCCTACGGCCTTCCCACAATCCCTCGCGCAGGAATTTGAACTCTGGGAGTCCTATTAATAACACTCCAGATGCTATCTAGGTCACACTAGCAGTTTCTGTGTCATGCACGCACTCCAAATACACGCACATGTGTTTGGAGTAATTTCATGCTCTCTGACATGCAGAGTACAGTAGTGTGTGACGCTGTTGTACAGTTCCCCTCAGACACGCTCCAGTTATGTCTTCTGTGTAAAAAAACAAAAAAAAAACAAAACAAAACACACACATATATATATACCTTGAATCTTGGAACACATAAACCTGGAAATGCTTATAAACTGAATGAAGGGCAGTAAAAGTGAATGAGACGTAATGCAAAATCACTTCCTGCTCTGTGGCTCAGAGCGCGCTGCACAGTATATTTCACTGGCTTGTTTTATTGCTTCCTCTGGCTGCTTGTTTAATCTAATGCTCTGGCCAAAGCACTTACCCTTTCTAGCAAAAGCCCATGCAGCGTGTTGACGCAGCATGAAGAGCTGTGTCGGCTGTGGGAAACGGGCCGTAATGGGTGTGAAAGAGCTGCCATCACCATGCCGACGTGTGAGAAGCCATGCTGAGTTAAAGCTGCTTTGTCTTTCTTGTTGCTTTGTGAACGCCCATCTTCCTCTTCAATCCTAATTTAAGCGCTTCAGGAGCTCACACCTGTTCCTCTGTTCCTCACAGGTGTATGTCCGGCCATACTTTGACTATGATCCCGCCAATGACAGCTTGATCCCCTGTCGGGAGGCAGGTATGGCCTTCAAGAAAGGTGATATTCTTCAGATTGTAAACAGAGAAGATCCCAACTGGTGGCAGGTGAGCCTTCCTTCACAGACTGTCTTTGACCAAACTTTAAACTTTCAATTTTCTAAATTTAACTTTGAACTGATCCACACCAGGCATGTCACGTAGTGGGTGGTGCCACGGGTCTGATCCCCAGTCAGTTCTTGGAGGAGAAGAGGAAAGCTTTTGTTCCCAGAGACTTGGATGGATCAGGTGAGTACCCTACCTGTACTTCTTGGCAGTGATGCCAGACCTTTGTGTAAACACTCTGTGAAAGATTCCTGAGCTAAAACTCACCCAAGTTCTTAATGTTTCTCTTAAGCCAAGGCTGTTTTTGAAGGGATGGAGTGGCCTGTGAACTGGTTTACTGCCAGACCTCTATCACTTGTAAAGCTTTTAGCTGATTGATGGCAAAAAAAAGAAAAAAAATCATGGGTAGTTAGTATTTTCAGTGCATGCCTGCCCCCGTCTGGCCAAATGCTGTAACAGCAAAGATATAAACGTGCATATTTGTCTTGCAGGAATTCTTTGTGGCACCTTGGCTGGAAAAAAGAAGAAGAAGATGATGTATCTAACAGCCAAGAACGCAGGTCAGAATATTCTTCATGGTCTAGATGTTTGGTTAATGTCTTCATTGTCTTTCTCTACAAGTGGCTAACAGCTTTGAAATGTCTTTGAACAGAGTTCGATAGACACGAACTGCAGATCTATGAGGAAGTGGCAAAGGTTCCTGCTTTCCAGAGGAAGACGCTGGTTCTGATAGGTGCCCAAGGAGTGGGCCGACGCAGCCTCAAGAACCGATTGATGGTCCTCCATCCCACGCGTTTTGGCACCACTGTACCATGTATGCCACACTCGGGTTTCTAACCGCTTTTCTCAAATTTTGCTACAACAGTGCAACATTTACCTGATTCATGTCTTCTGTCAGACACCTCACGGAGACCCCGTGATGAGGAGCTAGGCGGCAACTCCTACCACTTTACCTCAAGGACAGAGATGGAGGCTGATGTGAAGGCCGGCCGCTTCCTGGAGCACGGCGAGTACGACGGCAACCTGTACGGCACAAAGATTGATAGCATTCACGAGGTGGTCGCAATGGGACGCACCTGCATCCTGGATGTCAACCCGCAGGTATGAGAGGGGTCCAAAGCGAGCGAATGTCAGTGGCAGGGTTATTTTCATGCAGTGAAGGGTGGCTTTGACATGCAGCATTTACTCACTGTGTTTGACCTTTAGTGAGAACATTGGAGAGTTTTATTAGGTGAAGTTTGGACCAGCGGGACTGTTTGTTTCAGTTGAGTTTGCATTGTTTCAGAAAGTTTACTTTCAGTTGAGTTTTTATTAGTTCCACTTTTAGGTTTAGTCTTTTTAATTAATCTAATATTGGTGGATGTTTGTCAGGGGAAAAGTTCAGAAATGACATCATATATCAGAGTCATGTAGACTTGCCAAGTCTTAGTGCACCAAAGCCTTATGAGACAGTGTGGTTTTCAATTGCAATTTCAGATCTACTTTTAAACTATAATAACCTTGTGTTAAAGGATTTGAAAAAAATATGCTACTCAAAAGCACTTAAAGGAACACATTAATCAGTATAGCATCAAGTCAATTAAACTTCTATGATATCGATCTGATCAGTTAAGTAGCAGAGGCGGTATTTAATGTTTCTTGATTGTTTTTTCACTAGTTTTCCATTTAGCTAAGGCCAGTCTCACTACTGTTATTATGAGGTGATACTTGGGCCCCATAGGGGTTGGACAAAAGGTCTAACTCCTCCAAGATGGCACATCAACTCATGCCACTACCAGAAGGTTTGCTGTGTCTCCCAGCATTGTCTCAAAAGCATGGAGGAGATTCAAGCAGTCGGGCAGTTACTCTAGGAGAGCTGGTGAGGCCCGAGAAAGGTCCTTAACCCGTCAACCATTAGTCAGTAGGATCGGTATCAGACCCTTTGTGCAAGAAGGATGAGCACTGCTGAAGCTACAAAATTACCTGCAGTAGGACACTGATGTGACTATGTTTGACCATACAATCAGAAACAGACTTCATGAGGATGGTCTAAAGACGCCTAAGCGTCTTGTGGTCTCTATATTCACTGCCCCGCACCATGGAGTCTGATTGGCGTTACCTGTAGAATACCAGAATTGGCAGGTCCACCACTGCCATTAGTTATCAGGATGAAATCCTTGGACCCATTGCCAGACCCTAGGCTGATGCGGTGGGTCCTGGGTTCCTCCTGGTGCACGAGAATGCCTGGCCTCGTGTGCAAAGAGTATGTAGGCAGTTCCTGGAAGAGAAGAACTCTGGGATATTATATAGATGGGCCTCCATCTATCCAACTTCCCCAGGGCCAGGTCCCTGTTCCAAATCTAGGAGGAGACCCCCAAGGACACCAGCCAGTCTCTCATAAAAAGCATGTCCCAACATTGTGAGGCATGCATACAAACTATTGCTGCAATGAAAGTTTGCCAAAATGTGTCATTTTTTTCACTTTGATTTGTGGGGTGTCTTTGAATTCAGACCTCTGTAGGTTGACAATTATTATTTCAAATAATGTGGCATCCTTTCATTCCTAACACATTACCTGGTCCGTGTAAGTATAGTATAATGAAAACATCTTTGTCTCTCTTCAGGCTCTGAAGGTACTGAAAACAGCAGAGTTCATGCCTTATGTGGTGTTCATTGGAGCACCAGATTTTGATACTCTTAAGGCCATGCACAAAGCTGTGGTGGATGCAGGCCTCACAACTAAGCAGCTCACGGTAGGTTAACAACACCCATGCGTAACAATGGGATGAAGTAAACACACACAAACAACCATGCTCTCTCTCACACACACACGCATGCATAGTGATATGCTTACATTATCTGTCACTGTTTTTTGACATTTGAGCCCTCACTTACATATCATGGGGATAACTGTGCAATATTTTATGTCAACTGTAGTCAGTCACAAAAACTATGACTGATTCACTGAGATAAAAGACACACTAAAGACATTTGAAAAAAAGGGTGTGGTGGTAACTGGTGGCCAATTTGCCTCTCATTGTTTAAGATTTTGTTCTCCCCCTGGTTTAATGTTTTTAACACTTTTAAGATTAAATCACCCTCATATGCTTTCTATGTGGGCCTTACTAAAAATAGACAGAGGGACAGGGTGGCTAAATATAAGTATGCCGATTTGAATGACCCTGTGGCCAAAACACTGCCTGGAAGCAGATCATGTTACTTGCTGGTCAAACAAAATCCTTCTAAAAGTACCTTAAATTACATACAGTCCTGGTGAAAATAAAGTACACCGTCTATCATCTCTATCATTGTGCATATCAGAACAAAAAAATCTGAGATGAACAACAGCATACAACATATTGTGCTATGTTCTTAAAGCCAAAATGCAGAAGCGTCATGTTAAAAGTGACATAAACCCCTTGATTTAGTAGAAGCACCTTTAGCAGCAATAACTTGAAGTATGACTTCAGTAGTCTCCCACATCGTTGAGGAGGAATTTTGCTCTACTCTTCTTTACGACGTTGTTTGAACTCATTTGTTCTCGGAAGCTCCCACCAAACCATTTGAATCAATCTGAGGTCTAACATTGCAGCAACTTGATTCTTTTCTTTTTCAGTCATTCTGTTGTAGATTTGCTGCTTTGTTTGGGATCATTGTCCTGTTGCATGACCCAAGTTTTAGCTGTTGGACAGATAGCTTTATATGTGGCTCTAGTGGAGTTTGGTATACAGAGGAGTTCATGGTCAACTCCATGACTGCAAGCTGCTCGTTTCCTCTGGCTGCATATCATCACGCCTCAAACACAGTGCTTGGCAGTTGATATGAAAGTGTTTGTACTGATGTGCTGTGTTTGGTTGCTGTGTGTTATGGCCAAACGTCTCCACGTTGTTTTCATCTGTCCAAAGGACATTTTTCCAGATGTTTTGTGGTTTGTTCAGATGCAACTTTTTAAACTTAACCATTGCTGCCATTTTCTTTTTAGAGAGAAGAGCATTTCTCCTGGAAACCCTTCTAAACGAGTTCGTTTTTTTCCTAATTGAATCATCATGAACTTTCACATTTATCGTGCTGAGGCCTGTAACCGGTCTGACCTTGAGGTGAATGTGTTTGGAAGTTCATTCCTGGGAAGACTGGCAACTGTCATGAATGCTTTCCACTCGAATGCTCCAGACCAGCAAGCTGGCAAAGGTTCTGCCTTTATGGAGGTCCTTACATTTGTTGATCATCAGTTAATCAGGCGATTTTGAATTGATTGACAGCACCTGGCCTCTTTTAGCAGCACCATATCAGCTGCACATTGCTGCTAATACGGAAGAAGTAAGGGTGTAGTTTTTGTCTTTGTCGTACTGTTTCTGCATTTTTGGCTTAGTTTTTGTAAGACACAGTCTGTTGTGTTATATTTTGTTCTTCTGTTCTTGAAAGACCAGGTTATTTTTTTTTACTGTGACCTGAAAGGTAAAACCTTAGAATTGACAGAGGGTCTACTTTCTTTTTACCATGACTATAAATATCCATACACTCATCATTTGTCCACCTGTCCTGGTCTTCACTGTTATGTGCTGGACACTGACACTCATGCATACAACTTGGATTTATCCCCAGAACTGACCCGTCCTTCATGTTTCTGCAGGATGTGGATCTGAGGAAAACTGTGGATGAGAGCGCCCGCATCCAGAGGGCTTACTGCCACTACTTTGACCTGACCATCATTAACGACAACCTGGATAAGGCCTTTGAGACGTTACAGGCAGCCGTGGACAAACTGTGCAGTGAACCCCAGTGGGTCCCAGTGAACTGGGTATACTGAGGACTAGCACCACTCGTTACACTGTCCAGTCTACGTGGGCCTCAGTGACCCACCAACATGTATGCGTGTATGTGTGCGTGTGCTTGTGATCACAAAGGCCAAAGAAGACGAAGGGCAGAGGTACTACTGCAAGTAATCAATGAAATCTCATCGCTCTTTCTCCTCTCGGGCCTGCAACTTTTTTTCTACTCGAAACTCAAAGGGAAAGAGTGCTTATTTATTTTATAACTTTTTATGAAAGATCTTTCTATTCAGTGTGGGATTACGGTGAGAATGAAACAAACCAACCATGAGAAAAAAGAAAAAAAGTCGTGTCACGTGCTCGGGCCATACTTTTTTGCATTAATTTATTGTTGTAGTGTCGCTTTGTAGTCGTTTTCCTTCATTTTTAAATACTTCTATCAGTCTTCCCTCACTGACACGGAGGATTCACGGTCGCCACCCGAACTCCAAAACAAAGACGAGGACAAGGCGATCGATGACAAGAACTTGAAGCCGTCATTGTCCAAGAAATCTCGCGGTGTGGCACATGTTGAACATCATTGCTCTGTTTTCTTTTCACCTTCATTTACTTGAATCCTTAATGTTATTTTTTTAATGTCGTCGGCCCCAAAATCCTCAATCGGTTTTCTCCATGAGCGAGGGGCTAAAAAGCTCATCCGGTATATAAAAGAAAAACAATATGACGTACTTTTTAAAAGATCAAACACCATGTCTGTTCATTTTCTCTAGTTTTATTTTGTTTTTGCTATTTTTTTTAATCAGCGTGGTGATTAGTAGAGTGTAGCATTCAATCGTTTGCTTCTATCGTCTGTTTGTCTGCAGTATGAGTGTCACAGTGTCATTGGCCATCATCTTTACCTGCTACAATGTGTTAATGTTTTATTTTTTGTGAATGTGGCTCAAACCCACTCGCTCCTTAATGATCCTCATCTTCAGTGTTGCGGTTATGCCAAAGCCCTTGTGATCATGCTCTGAATCAACTATTAAATTCACAGTTCTTAAATCAGATACAGAATTGAGAAAAACCTGAAATCTGTCCTGGACTTCGTGACTTCAGGATAAAATGAGTATTAAATCACTTTAGGTGGATATTCGTTGCAATGTACAGTGAATACCATTTCAAAATGCTGAGGGTATTCTGTGACAGCCCTGCTGCCTGTTCAAGTGTTTCCACATCAACCTCATGTCTTCTTTTTACATTTTTATCAGCAAAGTTGTGATGAATAAAATTTGATAAACCTCATAAACTAGTTTCTTGGTAAATTATGTGTGCAACATTTCCATTTATACCTCGTAAGATTCATTTCCGTCAAATCCAGACACAAAAACAAAATATCAGACCTCAATACTTTGAAAAAAACTGCATTCAAGCAAAGTCATTGTGTCTAAAAACAACATGTAAACGTATTTGTGTTAGTAACCTCATACACAGCGGATGCTTTATTAAGTACACCTCTTCTTCAAATGTTTATTGCAAATGTCTAATCAGCCAATCAACTCAGTGCGTTTAGGTGCATAGACATGGGCACGTTGATTTGCTGAAGAGAATGATCAGTCTCCTAGCTGATAGGAATGCAACAGTAACTCAAAAAACCACTTATTCCAATGAAGGTGTGCAGAAGAGCATCTCTGAATGCAGTACGCTGAAACTTGAAGCAGATGGGCTACAGCAGCAGAAGACCACACCAGGTGCCACTCATGTCAGCTCAGAACAGGAAACTGGGGTTACAATTCTCACAGGATCATCAAAATTGGACAACAGACAACTGTAAACATTTCTTCTGCAACATTCAGATAGTAGGACCAGAAAAAACACGAATGCATGAATCCATCCTGCGTCTCAACGGTTCAGACTGTTGGTGTAATGGTGTGGAGGATATGTTGTTGGCACAGTTTGGGCTCAGATATGAGTCTATGTACATTTCTGGCCTTAGCTGCTGTATAGTGGATCTTTTGGAATGAGGAGTTTCATTAATTTACTGTTACTATTAGAAAGTATAAAAAATAGGAAAAAATAGGAAAAAATGCCCTGCAAAGTAATTATGACCTACAAATTTGTACTTAATAAATGACAAGCTATTATACGTTTAAGAAACGGTTTGTTTTCTGCAATTTGTCGTTTGACACAAACAGGAAGAGGAGCAGCAGCGCCCCCTGTGTGTAAGTGAAAAAGCTTACAGCACCTGGTATTCCCAGGCGGTCTCCCATCCAAGTACTGACCAGGCCCGACCCTGCTTAGCTTCCGAGATCAGACGAGATCGGGCGTGTTCAGGGTGGTATGGCCGTAAGCGAAAGAATTGCACACAAACTGACCTTTTATACATGCCAAATACCACTTTTTTCGCCAATTAAGATTCTGTTTCCATCCAATGATGAAACATTTATTCCTACGGTAAACTTTTCACTTCAGCATAGAAAGCTGTTTAGAGTAACACGTCACTGATCTTAGATCGGAATAGCGTGCAGTTGGCTCTTAAAATCACCGCATTTATTTAAGTAACAAAACAAACTGTTTGGAGACGATCTGCAAGACAAAAGTCTGAGAAGTGCGCCTGAAGCATTAATAAAAGGGGTGTTTGTCGTTTAGGGTGTCGCTTACGGCCATACCACCCTGAACACGCCCGATCTCGTCTGATCTCGGAAGCTAAGCAGGGTCGGGCCTGGTCAGTACTTGGATGGGAGACCGCCTGGGAATCCGGTTGTTCAGTCTGACGTCACTAGCCGTGTCTGGGTCTAAACTCCGCTGCAGGTCCATATATCAAACGATAACTATGGCATTACTGAGAGTTGAAAAACTGTCTAAAGTGTTTCATCTTTAATAAAATGATCAGCGTTCTGCTCTACCAGGTGTAACAATTGAGTTTAACATCCAGACATCCATGAAAACGGAATTTATGACATTTAACGGAGTTAGAAGTTAGCAGGGAGTTAGCTCGCTAGCTTCTATCTAAATACAATATAACATGTCCTGACTGCGGGGTTTTGGAAACAAATTAAAACGTACAGCTCTGCTATCACTTCCAGCATAAATGAAGACAGAAAACTAAACAGCAGTGACGTTTGTAGGGTTACTGAAGTTTGGCTAGCTGGTATATAATGATGTGCTACGTGACCGCTAGCGACACAGCTATGTTAGCATAATATAAACAAGCTAACTTTTTTTCCACTCGATAAAAGTTACCGTGAGTGTTCTCGGTGGTCAGGAACAAATGTAATCGCATGGCAGGATGCTGTAAAAGGACCAAACTTCAGCCAGGAGAACAACTGAGATAATCCATCCACAATACGAGGTTAGTCATTCATATACTGCTGCATGGGCTGGGCTGTAGTTACATCCTAAGGTTTTAAAAACTGAGCTTAAATAAATGATTAGCGGTAATAAAAGCCGAGGGAGGTCAACAGTGATCACTGACTGTTTTAGGAGCTTTTTGAGATCAAATAGAAGAAAATACATAACATTAAACATGTTAACAACACAAAAGCCATATTAAACGCAGACTACTTTAGACCCGGAAGTAGGATTCGTCGCGTCATCACTGAACAACCGGATACCAGGTGCTGTAAGCTTTTTCACTTACACAAACTGCAGGGGGCGCTGCTCGTCTTCAGTGGACATGTGGAGCATTTTGCTTCCTGGTCAATAGTTGAAGTGCAAGGCCCTTTAAAATGTATATTCTTTACATTCAATCTTTTTAATATAAACCATAAAATATTTATGTGAAAAATTCTGTTATCTTCATTTTTCTTGCCTTGAGTTTTAAGTTGATATTTGGGGTTCATTTCCACTGGTTTTCTTAGGACTCAAATATGACAGGGGCAGGTGTTATGTGGGCCAGATGTGGCCCCAATTGTTACACCATCTGGCCCATAGATATTGGAGGCCGAGTAGAGGCAGCCAGACTCAAAATGAGTCAGTGCCAGAAGAGCAATGCAGATACGGAGCATGATAGGGCCACACATTCATGGCCCCCTACTTATTGTGCACTTAAAAAACAAAAACAACAAAACAAACAAACAAACAAAAACAAGGCAGCCAGTTTAGATTCACACAGTTGACCTCATGCAAGAACCACCTGGAAAGGGATTTATTCTTAGAGTATGAATAAAGATGTTCCATTCATTGGTTTTATTTATTATTTGGAGTGGTCCTTTCTTTTAATGCATATTGTGCTTTGATACTTTAATTAAATTAAGTAAATAAAACAATCCTGACTCAGCTGATGTGATATTTTTTGTTGTGTTGCTTGTTCTACTGGCACATAATCATCTTCACAGACAGTGTTGATAGTGTAGTCATCTTGTTTCAGTCTACAGGTATCTGAATCAGGCCTTCTCCCCTCTGATGTGAACTTCTACTTCCTCTCTGGTAACAGTTCAGCAAAACTGGACAGGATATGAAAATACAGGAATGAAAACATCAAGTGACAACGCAGCAGAAAACCTTTTTCAAACATTTTTATTAATTAATGCAATTTACAGTCAAGCCAAAGAGCGAACTATATTAAGTGATACGTATTCACATTATGTCCTAACAGGGTTTACAGCATATCTTGTGTTCTGTAAGCATAATTGTTACAAAAAGAAAAAAAAAAGAAAACGTAAAAGAGAAATCAAAGCTTACAATAACAAGAACAAGGAGCTTAGCAGTGGATTTGAAACATATGAAATGAGCAAAAGACCCTCACCAGAACAGGAATGACAGCAAATTCAGTTTTGGCATGTTGTGGTTTAAATAAGGGAGTAAAAGAGATAGAGAAACTAAAATATATGCAAAATATAAGTGAGCTCAAAATGACAGGAGGAAAGGGAGGTTTGAATTCACGCGGCTTTGCAGGGCTACCTCTGCCAAGAGACTTTGGTCACTTTGCTTCTCTGTCATGGCTTATAATTATAAGAAAGAAAAGAAAAAAAAAGGAGTGTCCTGGTATTAGTTCTGAGTTAATTTTGTATCAATTTTGATTATCTTCTGTCAGAAAACAACAACAAAAAAGTTTTGTAGTCAACTGCAACTCCAGGACAGACTGTACATTCTCAGGAGGTAGATAACATGAAGTCTTAAAAGAAAGCGTGTCTAAATTGGAATCGAGCTCTTTGTCAAGTCTGTGAAACTGTAGTGCATAATTTGTTTAAGGCCAAATAGGAACCTCACTTGTAGATCTAAGGCTATTTTAAGACAAAGGGTGTCAGGGTGGAGGAGGGAAGTGCACGGGATGGGATGGAGGGGTGGAGGACAGGGTGAGCAGATACAGCCCTTACATGTCAGTGCCTGAGTCAACAGTCGCGCTTTACCACAGCTGCTTGGTGCACGTCAACCCTTGGTTAACTGAACCCAATCTCTTTTTTTTTCCTTTTTGGCTACGCACATGCAGGGAAGATGCCAAAAAAAAGAATAAAATAAAACAGAAAAGGACGCAGAAATGAGACGAGGAATATTCTGATTGACATTATGACTTGCATAAATGACACGTTATTTGGCCACATGGTGTAACATGTTACAAGAAGAGCTATCAGCGTGGGCACAGCCTGAAGTGACATTCAAACCTCCCTAGAGGGGAAAATTATGTTACTGGACAATATGAAGCACACTAAAAGAACAAAACAAAACAAAAAAAAAAAAGGTCAATGCAGCATATATCAGGCTTATGAGGTACTTCATGAATATATAGATATATCAACGTTTTTAGAAAAGCTCCTCCGAGTCATATTATTCCTTATAATTCCTATTGATAGCGTAAAATACCTCGTCAGTTTTATTCTTATTATCAGCCCAATCTCAGATGGGCCTCCTTTTTTTTTTTTTTTTTTTCTTGAGACCGCTTTGAAAGTGCAAAACACAAATACTGATCGTTCTATGCAGCATCTACACACGAGGTTGCATGGTAGTTAAAACTTTTTTTTCTTTTTTACTTTTTATGCGGCATGACAGATTTTAGTCAAAACTTTATTTTGAAAGGACTCACAAAACCCGAGAGAGAGAGAGAGAGAGAGAGAGAGAGAGAGAGAGAGAGAGAGAGAGATCCGACAAAAGGCTAAATCGCTACGACCTGTACTCAACAACCACACACGACCTCGCGTGTGCCTTCCGTCGGATTTCAATTCTTTTTCTTTGTGTGAAGTGTATTCAGATGTGGATTTTCCCTTTGTTAATGAAAAATAATAATAATAATAATAAAAAATAATGGCATTGAGTGTGGCGAGTACCAGATGGGGAAATCCACTCTGGATTTTATTGCAGTTTGGGTTGAAA